GGAGGGAAAGACAAAGTGTGAGGGGGTGTGCTCAGAGGCAGAGGCATCCTGGGGGTGGAGGAAGGAGCCCTGATATAGACATCAAAGATCGGCATTTAAGTCCTAGCTCCTCCATTTGTTGCATGACTGTGGGCAAATCACTCCCTTCTCTGAGCCTCAATTTCTTTTTCTGTAAAATGGGTACTTGGCCTGCGTGTGTGCCTCACAGCTTCATGGAGAGGCCCTGTTGTGCTCACCGAGGAGTGCACTCGGGGAGTCATAATCACTGCTGATTTAAGAGTACCTGCAGGTGGTGTCCTCACCTTGGTTCTCCGTTGTTCTCCGACAAATAAGGACCCATCCAGTAGGATTAGGAGATAGGGTGATGATAGTGGGGGAGGTGAGAGACCTAGTCCTGACGGCATTGACCTGACAGCCCCAGGTACTGCTTTGGTGGCTAAGTCTGGAAACCCCCGTCCCCTACTGCTAGCCACAACTTGTACCACCACACAGTCTTCAGCCCTGAGCCATCCCAACCTGAGAGTTGTGGCTTCCCCAGGCTTCTGCCAGAGCTTTCTGGGCAGCAGCTCCAAATGGTTTGAAGAGCCCTGACAAAGGCAGAGACCAACTGCCCTGCATGGGCAATTTTCCAGAACTACTTTCTTCTTTTCTGTGATGTACACATAGCAGTTGGAAAGAACTGACGGCTCTAAGAATGACCCCCAGCTTATAGATGTATATGGATTTCAGGAGCTCAGCATTTGTATTGTACCTGCCCTTGAGAAGAGTTGGAGTATTGTGTTATTGAAGAAGCATTTCTTTCTTTTCTTTTTTCAGTTGGGGTCTTACTCTGTTGCCCAGGCTGGAGTGCAGTAGCACAATCACAGCTCACCACAGCCTCCGGCTCCTAAGCTCAGGACTTCCAAGTAGCTAGGACTACAGGTGCGCATCACCATGCCTGGCTAGTTTTTCTGTTTTTATTTTTTACAGAGATGAGGTCTCACTCTGTTGCCCAGGCTGGTCTCGAATTCCTGGGCTCAAGCAGTCCTCCCACCTCAGCTTCCCAAAGTGCTGGGATTATAGGCATGAGCCACCGTACTCGGCAACAGATATTTCTTGAAGGCTGCCTTGCACTTCTAGGCTGTCAGAACTGTTGGGCTCTTTGAGATGGGCTGCCCCACCCACTAATATTAAGCCTGATGAGGCCTATGGGCCTCTTGTCACAGAAGAAACCCCGACCCAGTCTCCTCCAAGTAAATTTCCATACTGTTATTAGTGGGATAGAGATGATTGCTTGGGGAGAAGAGAAACAACTGGATGAATTTGCCAAGGTTGAACCACAGATAAAGCAGGTGCTTCCTGGGGGCTGGAATAGAAGCTGAAAGTCAAAGCCAAGGGCACTGTCTCAGTTCAGATGACCCTGTCTCTGCAGGATCCAGGTTAACGAGCTTAATCTGTATGTCACCTGAATTTGGCCAACAAGTCTGAGATCACACAGGAAAGGGGTGGATGAGGAGGCAGGGTTGAGTTTGGAGGCCACCAGGGCCACTAGACAGGGATCACTTAAGTCCAGCCTCCTTTCTTCTCCCTGGGCTCTGCCTCTAAGGACCTTGTGGTATGACCTCTTATATATCCCTCGCACACTTTGGGCCTCAGTTTCCCCACTTGTAAGGTGAATGGGTCCCATCTTTGGTAAGCTGACCCTTACCCAATGCTGTCTTCCTGGAATGCTCCTGTAGAGAAAAGATGGATTCTCTTTGCCCCCATCCAAGATGGCTTCTCTCCCAGGGTGCTGGAAGGCTGAGGAAAGCCACCTGCAGGTACTCTTAAATAACATACTGCCTGCTCCAGTTCAATGAGGGGCACAGATCAGGCTGTCCCTTGAGTCCAATTATGAGCCTTCCCAAATATAGCCATGGCATTTTAACAGGGAACTACTTGATCACAGTGTGTGTGTGTATGGGGGGGGGCGAGAGTAGCAATGCGAATCCTGAAAGCAACAGGCCTGCATTCGTTATATCAAGAAAAGTGACCTGCGATTCTGGTCAAAGGAGCTGTGCTTCTTGACACATCCTATTAGAGAGTCCTACCAAGTCACCAGTCACCAGTCACCAGGAAGACTGCCAGTTTTCTCATCAACTTGAGGGGACTGTGAAAATCAGTGCTGCCCTTGTAAATCTTATTCCTGGAAATCTACCCAGAAGGGGGCTGCCTCAGCAAACCAATCTTTGCTCTGTGATGTGTCAGTCATCCGGGCCCAGGTCCCAAACTCACCCTCCCTTAAGTGCTTCACCAGTCCCTGGAGGTGTCCCAGTGTCAAGTTTGGCTTTCTGTGGTCAAAGCCCAGCATATATAGTAAGTGAACCCAAGCGACTGAGTTAAGAGAACTGGCCAAACCAGATGTAAATCTGTGACCCACATCCTATCTCACCACGGTGCTTCCAATCTTCTAGAGATAGCGGGCTCCTGTTTTTCCGTGGCAAAACTCCATGGCAGGAGTGCTGCCTGGCCACCAGGGAATGCCTCTCAAAGTGAGGCTTGGTGCCCACTCTTAAGCCCCAAGCTGGGGTCCACCCCGCCCTACCCAACAGGTCTGGCCTTGCTTGGGCCCTTAGGTATTGTGAAATGATGGCCACTCAGCTGGTATTTCCTAAAGTCTAGTTCATCTAGTGTGCTACCTCATACTTAAAATACATTTCTGAGCCGGGTTCGGTGGCTCAGCCTGTAATCCCATGCCTTTGGGAGGCTGAGGTGAGTGGATTGCCTGAGCCCGCAGGTTCGAGACCCGCCTGGGCAGCAAGACCTCATCTCTACGATAAATCAAAAAAATCAGCCGGGTGTGGTAGTGCATGCCTGTAATTCCGGCTACTTGGAAGGCTGAGGCGGAAGGATCGCTGGAGCCCAGCAGGTTGAGGCTGCGGTGGCCGGGAGCGGCCACTGCACTTCAGTCTGGGCGACAGAGTGAGACTCCAACTCAAAAAAGAAAAAGAAAAACAAAAACAAAAACAAACAAACAAACAAAAAATACATTTCTGTTAAATCCACTGAAGGGGCTTTGACTGTCAACTCCTAGTAGAGGAAGCTTCCGTTTGTTTGTTTGTTTGTTTGTAGAGATGGGGGTCTTGCTACATTGTCCAGACTGGTCTTGAACTCCTAGTCTCAAGTTATCCTCCCACCTCAGCCTCCCAAATTGCTGGAATTACAGGTGTGAGCCACCACACCCTACCTAAAATCTTCCCTTTCTTGAGATGAAGGGAAGATGATAGGGCGGATAGGCTGAGGGTAGCAGGGGCTGCCCTTCTACAGTCGGTCCAGGCCAGTGGCAGCAGGGCACCCACAGTAAGCACTGGAACACACCACACAGACTCTGTGTGTGGCTTCTGACAAGTCACTGTCCAGTTGCCTTGGGCTTCTCTGTCCCATGCAGCACTTCTGTGAGGGGCTTGGATGGGGACTATGGATTTTGTGGGGTCTCCTAACTGCAATCTCCAACCCTCTCATGCTGGGAAAATATAACCCGAATGCAGCCAAGCCATGTAGCCAATCTGAGAAAACACTCTTTTTCTAGAGTGCTATAAGGAGACAGAAAAATTCAGAAAGAGTGTAAAACGTCCTCAAGCAGCAACCCCGAGATGCCCTGCAAGCCAGTGGGGTCCACACCCCACGGGAGGGTGTTCTGTCAAATCTCACCATCTTGATATAAATGTCTCTAGGCTGCCCTGGGCTGTGGCTGACACTGTCCTCAGCTCTTTACACCTCCATCTGGAGTCCATGCATAGATGGAACCATCCAGGCGGGCTGCAAATGTGCACTACCATTCAGAGTCACCCAGAGAGATGAAAGGCAGCCATGTGGGTGGCTCCAGGCCCATTTGATGGGCTCTGTCTTCATGCCACAAAGCTCAACTCTGGCCCATATTTAGCTGATGAGTGCATATCAAATGAGGGGCACTTATCCTGGCCTCTGGCTGCCAAGACCTTCCACTCTCAAGTGCTGCCATCTTGGCTGGGTATTCAGATACAGGGTCCCTCAGATAGTGGTGGGTTTCTTGCCAATGCTGATGGGATTGGGAGTGGGGCAGGTGGGGAAATCCGTGGACTGGGTCCCGATAAGCTGATGGGTTTTTAGAGGTGCTCCTGGTGTATTTCAGGGACTCGATGCCTGACAGAGCTAAGCGGGGGCAGTAAGAAGTCATTGCTACTCTGGGAGCAAGAAACCATCGCTTCCAAGTCATTTTTAGTTAGGGTAAGTTTGAGTTGTGTGGAAATCACATACTATATGGGGTAGCCACAGCTCTCCCTCTAGGCAATCTCTAAGATTTCTGATTGGGCCTGGGTAAGCAACACAAGCAATATCTCTTCCAGAAAGGCTCTGTCAGCCCTGCTTCCATGCCTTGGCTTCTCTCAAGATCCCGATCACGTCAGGCCACCAATTATATTCTGCATTAGCACTCCTTGAGACCTTCTCTTCACTGTCCCTCAGACCTCTAACGGCTATCTAAACCCAAGGGGTTTATCTAAACCCCAGATAACTTATGTGACTTGAGCTCACTCTGCTTCTGGAAGCAATCACTCCATCTTCTACTCCATCTTTCAGTGTCCACAGCTCAGGATGATCCAGGTACCCTCATGGCAAGGGCCTTTGTTCAGGGAAGGGTGGCTCTCATCAGGGTAGCCGAGATAAATCCAATGGTTGTGTGGTTGGACAGGAGTACCTTCCCAAGAACAAGGCATGAGACTGGACACGGAAACTTGTTTCTAGGTTTCATGACTGCAAGTTTGGCTTTATCAGGTGAGTGGTGACCTTGGCTGTGGGTACCCCTGCCCGGGGCACACCCCTCTCAAGATTACTAGAATCACATGGCACCGATGACTGTTGTGGTGTTAGCACTTTGCATGCATTCCCATAGCTATCTTTATAACTCGATGAGATGGGTATTTCCATTAACATTCTCATCTTAGAAATGAAGAGTAAGATGCCCAGAGTTCAGAAGTTTATCAGGGAGTGCTTCTCAAATTGGTGGGAGATGGAACTTTAGTAGTGGGTGGTTGGAGGAAGCTAGGATCAAAATTTAAGAAGATTTAAAAGCCTGCCTGTCTCCCTCCCTTCTTTACTTCTCTTTTCCCTCTCTTGTTTCTTTTCCTTGTCTTTTTATTTTGGTAAGGAAGACCTGATCTATAGGTAGACCTCAAGAACAGTTAGCAATACTTACTAAGTGACAGGCCCAGTGCCAGATGCACTTAATTCTCCCAATGATTCAATGAAGTCAGTACTAATATGATCACCTCCACCCTTACTGTACAGACGAGGATGTCGATTTGCAGAGATGGGAAGTCACTTGCTTAAGGGCACATGGCTAGTTAAAAAGTGGTAGAACTGAGGAGTGAACTTGGGTCTGTAAGCTTCCAGAACTCTCCCTTGTAAACTTAAGAGGTTAGGAATTCAGGTGCTGAGATTAGAAGGTCTTTGGTCCAGGGTTTCCTGGGGAGCACACTGTGGCAGACTGCCTGGAGGGGGCAGCCAGGAAATATCTCTGCTGGACCCATGCATCCGCCACTTCCTCTTCTGGCATGATAAAAAAACTGACTCCATTTGGATTGCAGTCAGGGACCAAGGTGACAGTCTTCACCATTGCCAGGACACCAACTAGAGTAAGTTTAAACGGCCAAACAGGAAAACAGTTGCTGTGAGGTCATTTAAGTGATACTCTCTTAGCGAATTTCAAATATACAATGCAGTATTATTAGATATCGTCACTGTGCTATCACATCGGATGCCCAGAATTTATTCATTCTAGAACTGAAAGTTTGTATCCTTTGACCAACATCTCATTTCGCTCCTACCCTCGCCCTTGACAACTAGACTTCTATTCTCTCTTTCAGAGTTTGAAATCAAAACGTTTTATGAGCTCAGAAAAAAGAAGGCGACTAGGTGAAGCAATCTATGTGCTGACTAGCTTAATTGTGGTAACCATATGACTATATATGTATATCAAATCATCATATTTTACACTTTAAATGTATACAGTTGTATTTGTCAACTATACTTCAATAAAGCTGGAAAGAAAAAAAAAAGAAAAGAAGAAACAGTTGTGGGTTGATCGGAGCCTTCTTTCCCGTACGCAGGGGCAGATTTCTGCACTGGGGACTGCAGCTTATACACAATCTGGGCTCTCTTTATGAAGGGAACAGAATGTTTAAACAGAGTTAGGTACCAGACCTCACTTCAGGGATGAGTCTTGTACACAGGGGAAGATCTCTGCATTGGGAACTACAGCTTATACACAGTCTGGGCCTTCTTTATGAAGGGAACAGAATGTTTAAACAGAGTTAGGTACCAGACCTCACTTCAGGGATGAGCCTTGTACACAGGGGCAGATTTCTGCACAGGGGACTGCAGCTTATACACAATCTGGGCTCTCTTTATGAAGGGAACAGAATGTTTAAACAAAGTTAGGTACCAGACCTAATTGAGGAATGAACCTTGAAGCTCAGGCTCAAAGTGACTTCACCTCTGTCTGTGCCCCAACAGTTGGTTAAGTAAAATGCAAGAGACTTTAGGTCATGCAGAAATTTCACTGCCTGAGAAACCCAAATGCTGTATAGGTAGGAGAAGACTCTAGTGACACCAGATTAGTCCAGTACATTCTAGAAGGGCATCCTGTCTATGGCCTCTTCCTGTGAAGACACACTGAAGAAAGATGCTCCTATCAAAAATTAGCCACATTGACTTTCAAAATAATTTCTGGCCAGAACATGTCTCTCCAGCTGAGCAGAGGGGTTATATGTCCGCTAAATAAACCCATGTTAGCTCCTGAGTGCCAACTTCTGGTTTGTGGACAATATTGACCCCACTTAGTAGATTTAGAGCCAGGCTGATGCCATAGAAGCTAAGGCTTGGAGGGGACATGTGATAAAGAGCATCAGGGTCAGTCCAGAGACCCTCCCCACGTCTAGGTCTTCTCTTTTTAAATTGAGGTAAAATTGACACAGCATAAAATTAACTTTCTTAAAGTGTACAATTCGGTGACATTTAATGTTGTGCATCTGTTGCCACTATCTAGCTTCAAAACTTTTCTATCATCCCAAATGGAAGCCCCTTAATCATTAGGCAGCTGCTCCTAGTCCCTGGTTCCTCAGCTCCTGGCAACCACTAATCTACCTTCTGTCTCTATGGATGTGCCGATTCTGCACATTTCATAGAAATAGGATCATACAATATGTGGCCTTTTTGTGTCTGGCTTCTTTCCCTAGTGCCACAGTTTCTAGGTCCATCCACATTGTAACACGGATCAGTGCTTCATTCCTTTTCTAGCCAAATCATATTCCATCGTATGGGGGTGCCACATTTTCTTGATCCATTCATCTCTCTATGGACATTTGGGTTGTTTCTATATTTTGGCTATTGTGAGTATGTTGCTGTGAATATCTGTGTCCAAATTTCTGCTGAACACCTGCTTTCGGTTCTTTTAAGTGTATACCAAGGAGTGGAATTGCCGGATCATAGGGTAATTCTATGTTGAACTAACTTTTGGGGGAACCGATACAATTTTTCCCACAGCACCGAGCCTGTTCAACACTTCTATCATTGGAGCTATGATTGGAAGGGCAGCAGGATGAGTGGAGACAAAAGCTGACTTCCAGGCTGGCAAAGAGAAACCTCTGCAGCTTTTTTAGAGAAGCACCTTTCTGCTTCTGCTCTCTGTCCACAGTGCACCATACCATGACCTCTGCCAGGATCAGAGGCAGACATAGGCAACTCTTCTCCTGTCTCCAGGTCATGTGATGGCACCCAGAGGTCCCTGCTCTCTACGCTACCAGAGAGCGCTAACACCTAGCAGAGGCTGAGGGCTGGGGAAAAAGCACGAACAAACATGGTCGCCAGAGGTTTGAATTCGGCAGCTTCTCAAGGCCAAGTGTCCTTCCCAATCTAAAGCTGCAACGTGGGTAGGGCTCAGTGCAGTCCTGGTATCCTACAGCAGGGTTTGGGGTGGGAGGGCACATGTCACTGCCATTTGGCTACATTTACCTTGGACAAGGAACTTTTCTGAAGGCCTTGTCCTCCATATGCCTGCTCTGCTGCATTCACCCCTCCACCTCCCCATCTATTTAACCAAATGGGAAACCCCTCTGGAACCATCTCTGGGAACATCATGGCCAGAAGCAGCAACAGATATGTCTGAACAATGACTCGGCTTTGCCTGCCTGTGCAGGAGTGTGTGGCTGGGAAGCTGGTTCTGCCTTTTTAAGTTCATACGGAAGGTGGCTCCTAGCAGCTCAGCCTTTTCAGGAATGTGGGAAGATTTATCATATTCATGAAAATGACACACACACTTTCACAGTAGGCTGAAGGGATCCGTGTAAACTCTTAGAATGTTGGACTTTTCTAGACCTTCAGATGCAAGTCGTGGTGTTACTGACCACATGCCTTTGTAAACTCCCAGCCCTTCAGTGAGCAAGGTACTTTTCTCATTCATTGTTCTTTGATTGTAAACAACAATCCTGGGAGGTAGACAGGGCTTTGCTTAGGATTCCCATTTTATATTTGGAAGGGTCCAAGTGATATACTAAAGCATACAGTTAGTCAGTGGCAGCGCACTGCCTGGCTCTCTGGACTCCAGAATACAGCCTAGGTAGCAAAGACCTGAGACCCCCAGGCATCTGTGCTGGTGTATGTGTGGATACTTCAGCAGTAAGCCAGCCTTCCCAAATAAACCCAGAGGTTACTCTGGGGTACCAAGAAAAAGGCAGGTCATTTCAGCTCTGCACACTTAGACTGAGGATAAAAATCTGCTGTTTAGTCTTGGTTGGGTCATTTCTATTTGCCTGTAGGGACTGTTGTACTTGCCCCAAAGCTTTCTAAACCACACATCATAGGGAGTGCCAGCTAGAGTGACCTCAGGGAAGAAGGCTCCTATTAATAGCAGCTTTTACTATGTACATTAGGGTAGCTTGGCTGCTGGGAATTTGCCAATCCTCCTGGCTCAACCATTTGCCTACAAAGTCCTTAATGTGCCATCAGGTGCCAGGATGCACTGCTATGTATCTCACTGGACCATCAGACACTGCTTGCACGTTAAGGGCTTTGCAGACAAATGGAAAATCTGCTCATACAAACTTCTGGACACCAAATTCCAATAGCATAACTTAGCAGCAGTGTACTGTGGCGAAAGGGCTGAAGGTAGGCCTTGAGCTTTCAGAGTCTGTCTTAACTTTGTCTAATTGGTGGTTGCCTTGGACAAGTCATTTTTCCCACTCTGAGCCAGTTTCTTGCCTACAAAGAGGGGAGAGTGAGTTCTGCTTCACAAATTTGCTATAAGGATGACATGAGCTTAGAAATGCAATTAGCATGGTGTCTGGCATGGTGTAGATACTAAATAAATATTATCTCTCTTTCCACTCTTGAAAATGCAAACACATTCTTGGTGGTCCTAAAATAGTCCTTAACATGGTTTACTCAGCAGCATTTGGCATTCGAGGCAGATCTGTCTTTAGTCTTTGACTGTGCTCCTAAACAGCTGTGTTCAAGGCTAACTTTTGTAAATCATAATAAAAAGCAGCAAGAATTTGTCATTGAAAGGACATCCTCAGTATATTATTTTATGAGGTGAAAGATCCTTCACCCAAACTTATCTTTTTAAAAACGTGTGCATTTGAGACTAGGCACAGTGGCTCATGCCTGTAATCCCAGCACTCTGGGAGACCAAAGCAGAAGGACTGCTTGAGCCTAGAAGTCTGAGACCTTCCTAAGCAACATAGGGAAACCTCGTCTCTACAAACAAAACAGAACAAAACAAAAGCCACGCTGGGCATGGTGGCACATGCCTGTAGTCCCATCTACTTGGGAAGCTGAGGCAGGAGGATGCTTTAGCCCAGAAGTTTGAGGCTGCAGGGAGTCATGATCATGCTACTGCACTCTAGCCTGGGTCACAGAGTGAGACTCTGACTTAAAAAAAAAGTGTGCATTTGGAAATATCACCCTTTCTTATAATGAATCCTAATTAACTTTTGGTCACAAACACATGTTGATGTTTCACTGCTCCAAAGTACGCAATAACAGGAATAAATTATATGTTAAAAATAATGAACATTTAATCTCCCTCGTAAGTGGACCCTGGACATTTACCATAATATAACAAGAAAGGAATTGGCAGTAGTGGCACACTGCTAGAAGAGGGAGGGGGCACATAACATCAGTAAGGGTACCTGATCTCAAACCAGGCTAATTGGGGACCAAAGAAAAGACCAAACTTTACCTGTCTGATGACTGCTTGTACATCTAATTCTGAATTGTACCCCACATCCTTACAATAAGGAAATTTGTAAAAGAAAAAATAAACATTTAAAAACATGAATTGATCTCTCTATATGTGGACAGTGTCTGTGATTGCATCATGGAAAGTTTTATGAGAGAGAGAGAGAGAGAGAGAGAGAGAGGAGTGATGGTGGAATGGTGGTGAAGAAGGTGATAATGGAGTTGGTAGACGTGGTGGTGGTGGTGGTGGTGGTGGCAGTGGTGGTGCTGGTGCTGGTGCTGGTGGTACTGTGACTAGGAGGAGGTACCACAGAACTTTTTCTTCCTTCTGTGCCAAATGTCAGCATCTCCACTGACTGGGCCAGTGGAGAAGGCTCACTCTGAGTGTGTTGTTGACATAAACCTCCAAACAGCCTGTCTCCTTGTAGTCATTCATAATTATCTTTTTTCTTACTTGCAACATTGAAGCTGAATTACTGGTGAAAACACAGGAGATTTTTGATTGCTAAAATGCTGCCAATAAAGTAATTACATGTCAGACTTAACTACAGGAAAGGGCAAGGCATTTCTAAGTTCCTTAAATGTCATGTGACTGAAAAGACAAAAGGATGGATAGCTGTTAGCTACTGAATCCTTGGCTGTTTGAAGTCCATACATTCAGAAAGCAGATGTTGGGTGTCAGCGTTTGGGTCTGGCTTCCTGGAGGCATTCTATACAGGCTCAGTTCATTGTTCTAAACTCTGAAGGTTTGACTTGAGAAAGGAAAAGAGGCAGCAAAATGTTTAGCTTTTCTGATAGCATCACACGGATGGCCCTAATACTAGACA